GTTAGCTGCTTCGCAGCATGCAGGCGAGCCTCGCGTTCACAGCTCGTGCGACCCTTGAGTTCGCAAGAGGGAACGTGACCCTCGCTTTCACGCAAGGCTGGTAGTGACCCTCGCGTTGCATAGTAACGCGACCCTCACGTTCAGACGTTTCTTCATGTAATGCATAAAACTGCATGCAACAGTCAGTAATTAAGTCATTTTCTATTATAATTATAATTGTCATTATGATTTGTAATAGTCAAATGACTCTTGAGCTGACCTTAGAGGCCTATAAATAGAGCCTCTTAGAGCAGCTCTAAAGATACGAAAAACATATCGATAAGTGTTTAAACTGTTGTGCTGCTGTTGTAGAGTTTGAAAGCGTGCAAGCTTTAGTCTGTGCCCGAAGGAACAGAGCCCTGAACCGAAAGGTTATTATAGATTGAAAGATCTTTGTCTTAACCGAAAGGTTTTTCGAACTGAAATGTTTAACAGATCAATGAGATCTTTGCCTGAAATGAAAGGTTTTAACCGAAAGGTTTTGAACTGTAAGGTTTAACAGATCGAGGAGATCTTGTCCTTGATCGAATGGTCTTATAAATCGGGGAGATCTTGACAGTACTGCTGTTCCAGGAAGCAGTTTGGCCTTAGGATCCTTGCACCAGAGTAGGCCAAATATTTCTTTAAGCATAGCGTTTCATAAACGCATAACAACTAAACTTGAAAATGTTTTTAAAATATAGCACTTCAGCTATCTAACAGATTTATCTGTTTTATTCCAGATTTAGCCACAGACGTCAACAACACTTTGGGAGCCATATTGGAACATCTCAACTATCCAAATCACTCAGTGGTTCCCTACAATTTACTTGTTATTCGTGTCCACTATTTGAGATGATCACTTTAGTGGTCAGAGATTAATATAACATTAGGCTATGAGTAGCACAGTGTAGGCGCATGCCATTTATAAAGGACCACAGTTTAGCATAGATTCTAAGAGCAAATGAATCAGCAGTTATAAAAATTAGAAACGCCGCCAGTTTTTACAGATCTAATGTGATGTTATTCATACTACAAATATGTAGCCAGGTAAGCTCAGCAGAAGATTCTTATTGTGCATTGAGAAGACTAATAAGCATAGTCTTCTCTCTAGGTCAAGATGTGTGCATAATCATAGTTGCATGAAATCCGGCTCGTTCCAGTTCATGGGATGGGTACGAAAATGTGGTACGCCACTCATTACGAAACCGACATGAGAGTGTTAGGTTTATATGGTGCGCACGAGAACATGGTGCGCTTTTGGTTCAGTTCATAAATGCTAGTATCAGTAATAGTATAAGAACCTTGAGATCATGTTGCAGTTAAGATATGCATACTTTATTTGCTTAATTTCTCATGCTTTATTTGTTCTTGTAAAAAGAGCTATTTTTTTAAAATTTTAATTGGTTTGAATTCTAAAATCGGGTCGCTAGAGTTGGTGAATCGGGTCGTTTTCCATGTGAATCTAATGTGAATCTAGGATGAATAAACTTGGATTGTGGTTCACTATAGTGTACCATGCTCCCGAATTATATGCACGTTATAATGGAAAGGTCAGTTTGATTAATGCTACTTCTTATCATTTGGAATAATTTACAATTACAAAAACGTAACTCTTCATTTTAAAAAACAAAGAGCGATTACTCAAGTCCGATAACAAGTTTACCAGCCAGCCTTACAGGGAATTCAAGGAACTCTAAATAGTTGTTCGAATAGCAAGTTATATTTCCATACTATCAGTACTAATATTGAAAGAAATAACTAATTAGTCCTACTTCTATTTTAGTTTAGAGTTTAGACATTGTTTTCCTTTTGTTTCCAGAAATAAAAAAGAGACGCTAATGGTACATCTTCGAGCAGGATCTCAAGTAACATCAAGAGGAAGTGTCAGAAATATTATTTACCCGTACTCAGTTCATTTTTGCCTATACTTCATAAGTCTGAACTTAACACTAACCGAGATTTGAAACCATGCAAACAATTCTAGCATCATGTTCCTCTTTTGTAAACGAAAAGTTACATCAAAATTTTGCGTCTTGTAACTTCATTTTACTTATGCTTTGAGATATTACATGGTTGCTAATTAGTAGTAACTGAGTATTACTACTGAGTATAGGTATTAAATGGCAACCCCTACAACAGAAAATGTGATGTTTATAGCTTTGGTATTTGCCTCTGGGAGATATATTGCTGTGACATGCCGTATCCTGACCTCAGCTTCTCGGAGGTTACATCTGCAGTTGTTCGACAAGTAAGCAAATTTTTTTGTTGCTCGAATAATAGAAGAATTAATCAAATGAAGCATAAATATCATCAAATTACCATGCATGAACTTTAATTGGGAGGTTTTGCACAAAACTGCAATGAACTTTTTATTAGAGAAAACTACCATGAACTTTCAAAACTGTAGAATTATACCATGAGTTATTGAGATTGTCGCTAATGATGTTAACGACTTGGATAAAAGGTCTAAACTACCTTTGAAAAATAGGAGAAGATGAGAGAGTAATATAGAAGATATATAAAGTACACAAAGCAAAATTGTTCAAAACATGTCGCATGTTAGATACATGACAGCTAACACTAATTGACCTCAGACTTATAGTTTATAAAATAGTTATATGTTGTCTAGATCACATGTACTACCCCCAAATTGAGCTTACTGCTGTTATAGTTCTATTATCGCAGATAGACCTCCTGAGTAGACTTTTTATTCTTCCTGGGCAATTGGTTTTCACTCAAGTTGTCTGTCTGCAACAATAGAACTATTTCAGTAGATCTATTTGTAATAATAGTACTACAGGGGCAGTAAAGTTCAATTTGGCGATAGTACAAAGGGACTATCTCCAGTTAGCCCTCTAATAAAAGAAGTTCATGATAGTTCTCTAGAAATACTTCGTTGGTCAAAAATATCATTATTTTCTTTGTTTAACTGCAGAACTTGAGACCCGAGATCCCAAGGTGTTGTCCAAGTTCTCTAGCAAATGTTATGAAGAGATGTTGGGATGCAAACCCCGATAAGAGGCCAGAGATGGATGAAGTGGTCACGATGTTGGAGGCAATCGATACATCCAAAGGTGGAGGAATGATCCCCGTCGACCAGCGAAGCGGGTGTCTGTGGTTCTTGGGCCAACGCCGAGGCCCATGATTGATACAATAATTCCTCTTAGCATCATGTAGGCAGCATTTTATGTAAATATTTTTTTTTCCTTCTCACACGTTGTGTGAATTGGATTATTGATACAACTCTCTAATGTACCGAAGATGGTCTTTATTGACTATAAAAATAAAATGATATTGTCTATGTTCATATAATGCAGGTGGAGTTGATCAGTTGATGACTTGATGAATGAACTTGGTTGCGGAAAAATTGTCAACAATTTGTTGTTCTGACATAATATTACGTAATGATCTACTTCATCTGGAATAGTTGTTTCATTTTCATTGTGTTTCAACATCGCTAGATTATCAATAATCAATCAAAGCTCTGAGATCCAACCTTACGTCCTTGGCTCTCATTCATCTGTGCTTTATACGGTCACCCCAGCAAAGGTGATGTTTCTATTGATTGCTTAGAGCTCTCATCATATGCCGTCTTCAGTGTCACCTGCTATTCGTTGTGCTTTTTTCCCCTCTGTAAGTACGCGTATGATTCCTACATAACACTCACGGTGAGATTTTACTCAAATGAAGTGCTAAGGTTCAGGGCAAAGGATGCCCTTTGCCCGTGCCAGCTCTAGCGAAATCAGGTCCAATAGTTTTCGTCAACTGAGTAGCTTGATGCTTAGTTCTTGCTAAAGTAGATAATGTTACTATTTTGGGCATTACTACTTTCACATGCATGGTACAAGGAGAATTGATTCCTTTACAGGACAGGCTTATTGCTCTATTATTCAAGCCAATCTGATGGGCTTCATCATTCCCAGTAGTTAGTAGTCAATATATCTGATCTTGGTGTTGCGATATACATTTAGGAAGGGTTAGATTCATGATCGAGTGAACCGTATCCATTAGATAGAATACTTCGGATTAATGCAAAACAAGTTTGAAATTAGATCACCAGCTATCTAATGGACATAATCCATTGGATAGTTTTTTCTTACATCTGCTTTTCACACAAATAAATCTTTGATTCCGTTTACCAGAACAAGGGCAGAAGAAAAAGGCATTTTAAAACAAGAGCAATGCAGAAAGTATACAAATACATTCATTGTAATGTACAAACTGATCCACTAACTACCCTACTTACAAGAAGGTTGAAATACATTCTATTACATAAACTGTACACTCCTTCCATCAGAAATTTCCTTCTCAGAAACCATCTGATTGTGTTTAAGATCCTCTGCTGCCAGCTCGATATCACCTGCAATGGTCTTTGCTGGGGAACTGACATGATTTGAAGTTATCCCACTCTTGAACGTATATATATCCATCAAGAACTACATAAAATGCATGTTGTCACTTTTAACTAGAATTACTGTTTTCGGATGCACTAGTTGATGCACGCCATTCCTGCATTCCATCCTTTAACTTCAGCATATTAGTTTCGAATTCTTTGTTAACCACCTCTCGTACTTTATCTCTCAACCCAGACGCATCTTCAGGTTTGAACCATTTTCTGCCAAACTGTCACAAAAAGGTGGAATGAATCAAGGGGGAGGGAGATACAAAGAATGTGAACTTCATCAAATAATCCCATCAATTTTTGGTTTTTTTTTCCCTTTTTGCGGGGTTGGGGCTTTCTTACAATGGATAAGTCTTTCTTTCTCAATCTTTCAGGGGCATCTTTAATAAACCGCTCCATGAAATAGAGCACAAAGAGCCCACAATCATATTCATTCTTCTGCTGAGGAACCTGATAATAACAAGGGATCTATTATGTGTAATCGATTCTGTAGAAAGGGACATCTGACTAGTATGAAGTGAAAGAATACTCATAAAAATAACAAGGAGAAAGACAAAAATCTTGAGGATTAGTAGAAAAGAGTGCAAGCCATAAATAATGCAGCGAGAGCAAGCATAAAGGACGTCGGCCTTTGGTGATAATTACCAGCAAATTAAGGTTTTCATGCAACACTGGACAAGGCCAAAGCGAAAGATTATCAGCAATGCATAATAAATTCATTCAGAACTATCAAAGCACAAGAAGAATATGTCACCAAATAGTCAGTAGTATTCCCAAGGTGCCATAACTACTCTTGTCAAGTACATGGTTTCTTAAAAAACCGTGTATTTCTTAGCTTTTATGCATCTGCAATATTTTAAATGCTTCCTTGTTATTTTCAATTGTTATCCTTTCGTATCTAATAGGTCGTCATAGGCATATTCCTGATGAGAATTTAGGATTACAGAGAGTTATTTCCTCAAAGAATCAGAACATCAGCCACTGAGGCCATTAACAATGGGGTTGGGTTGTGGAAAATCCTTGGGTAACGTTCCCAACTGCAGTTTTTGTCAAAAAAAAAAAATGCAATACGAATTTTTCTTTTCTTTCCTTTTTTTTTGCTTTTTTTGGAGTGGTGGTGGTGCGGGGGGAAGCAGGGGGGGGGCGGTTTGAAACTGGGCGCAACTTTCCGTGTTGTAATGAATCTCTTTACATAAACAGTGTTCTTGTTGTATTTGCATTGCTGCTACAATACTGCTTCCTTCAAATATCAGGCTTGAGTTGCTAATTTCTCGTCCATCTGATGTATGTCAGATCTTTGCTTCTCTTAGACCTTTGTTCTATGTGTGCCACCCATCAAACTGTATTCAACTCCAACTCCCCTCTACCTCCCTGTGGTTTGGCTAAAGCCACTTGCTTTAGGGATTTATGGGAAACAGATAATATTACTCGGCTGCTATTCATTGTTAGTTATTCTTGATGGCAATACCTGCCAATGCTAAGTTCAGCCTTCCTACTTGCTGCAGCCAACATAACAAAGGACCACAACAACCTCATTTACTGATGATATCTCGCTCTTCTCTCTCGTTTTTGTGGGTGTTTCTTTTTTGTGGTGGGGGGGGGGGGGTGGAGGGATAAGGTCTTAACTGCTCTACACTGTCATCTTCTAGGCTATTGATGAGATGACTTTAACGAGAATTGCAAAACCATCTTGTCCTATCCTTCCTAATCACAGTTAACTACTGTTTCATACTTGACTAGACCAGCTACAGTGTCATCATTGGTAACATTAGGTATTATCTATACAATTCATTATGATTTTCATGATGCAAAAGATGTGTGAACAAGAAATCATATAATTTGAATATTTTATATATCCCTCAATAAAAGTGATACATTTCTTATGTCCTCTATGTGGAAAGAGGGATGTGAGCAGTAGGTGTTGTAATTTTATACATCAGCCCCTCAAAAGTATAGACCATCCTTGTGGATAATTCATATTCCTCAACATTCATTATGATTTTCATCAAGTAAATTATATATGGATTAAAAATAGTATGATTTGAAGTTTTGCACATGGTAGACCATACTTCACCCACAAATTCATTGGGTTGATTTGTTATATTATAGAGAATTGTTCATCTTGTGACCACATGATGTATAGGTGGAAAGTCTTTAAATCACTTGATTTCACTGAAAATTGCTTCCAGTGATAAAAGATCATGATGGATCACATGAAGCTTAAAGAGATCTTCATGAATTAAAAAAGTGTATGGATGAAAAAACATATGATTAACATCAAAAAATTATTGAAGTGATAAAGATCATGATGGATGGTGCAGAGCAACCATTGGATGGTTTTCCTAGTGCTTTAAGCAAGCCATGTGGATAACACTGCTGAAATTGGTGTGTAGAGGGGGGGGGCGGGGGATAAAGTTTAATATTTGATTTAAAGGTTCAAAATAGGTATGGGATGTAATTGTATCTAATAATTTCTCATAATATCTGATAATATCTATTAATACCTAATTGAAAGAGCTTTCATAATATTATCATTGCCCAGATTACTTAAAGACGTGAGAAATCATAAAAGTGTTGTCACAGCCGGAGATCACCCAAGCACAAGATGAGAGTCAGAATATAGTGAGACAAAGATCACAAGAAGAACATCCTTGTTTTTGTGATCAATATATAGGCAGATACGTAGACATCCAGAAATACAGACAGCCAGCTAAGCAGACAGCAAGATCAGAGTAGACAGCCAGATAGTAGATAGCCAACCAGAAATAGAAGACCTTTGATATAGGAATCAGAATTTAGAAACTTATATTGAGGCCAAAAGAAACGCTAGAAGGGTTTAGTCATCATGAGGATTGCCGAAATCATATACTGAAAGATAACCATTATTATTGCAGAAAATCACCAAAACAAGCCCAAGAAAGTTACAATTCACGATGCGAACTAATGTGATGAACAGTAACACCGTTACTGTTCATGTAACGAACAGTAACCCGTTACTATTCATGTAGTGAACAGTAAATGGGAAACAATAATTTTTTGCCTAAGGTTTTTGTCAAATATTTATGACTCAGCTGAAGTTTTTGTCAAAGCTGCTGAGGGGTAGTACGGAGGCAGCGCTTGCGGCAAAACCCTGTCCCGCGGCCCCAAAGTCTAGAAAGAGGAGAAAAGCTCTCTAGGATCAAGAAGTATGCTCTGAGATCATGTAGAGAAAGCGAGAAGATAGTCATTATTCCATCTAACCCAAGCGTCTCTTTGAGATTAGGACGTTACAAAATAGGTATTGGTTATAATCATATCTAATAATACCTCATGATATCTAATAATTTCTAATGATATCCAGTAATATCTAACAAGTAGGGAATGCCGGAACGACATTTCGGCTCAGCACTAGAGTAGAACCAAGTAAACAGCATAGTGGTTATTTTAACAAAGATATAGCTCCTGACATAGCTTAGTGGAAAAATTCTGACCGTGATGGTTAACTTAGAGGAGGAGATAGCCTTCAATAGAACTGAAGTGAAGATATTTATAGCGGCTCTTCTAAATATTCTCCACCTGTTCCTTTTTTCTCATAATATTCATTCAACAAGTTAATGAAATAACAAAATTTCAATTCATGATAAGAACTTGGTTAGGTGAGAGAATCAGACATACTTCCAATTTCATGATATTCTTTCCTCCAGATTTCAGACATCTTAATTATGCTCTCATTGAGGACCCCATTGTGGTGATACAAATATTTAGTGCTCAATAGTTCGTCTTTCTAGAAAAATTCACTGCAGGCATGCAATGTTCCCGGCATAGTTACTACAGATAGCAGATTGCTCCAAAACATGGTGTAAAGGTGAAAAAAATTTCCAGTTAACAAAGAAAATATATGTTACACATAGCTAACTCATTTATAATTGACGCAATCTGACATACAATATAACAGTAAGCAAACAGATCCAGTTGTGGTGTACAGCAGCAAGAAAATTTTAGGCAATTATAATTTTCAAGAAGTTTCATCAGAACAAGAACTAAAGGATAGATGAGTTGTGTACCATAATCTTTTCCTTCTCAATCCGTCGAGGAAGATGTTTCCATATCCTTTCTGAAATAGGAGGATCTGAAGGAGGGGCATTTTCGTTGATGTAGTTCCATTCTTCTCTCAGATAGCTAGTGCAGAAATTGTCAAAAAAATCTTAATCAAGAGGCCAGTAACAAAATGTTTTTCAAACTCATGAATACATGCATATGTTCTCCTGTATGGCTTCCATGTCCACCGGAACATGCCCAAACAACTTTTATGTTCTCCTGTATGGCTTCCATGTCCACCGGAACATGCCCAAACAACTTTTAAAGTTGGATCACTTCATTTCTTATGAAGTGATAACAATAATCACAGCTAATTGAATAATGTTAAATTGTCTAGCCCAGTGTTGTCAATGCGCGAGGCGCAATGCGATGCACAAAACATCTTAAGCGCACATGCGCAAGGCGCAACACGATGCGCGCATCCGAGTGATGCGAGGCGCATACCGCACGCATAATTTTTTAATATATGTAATCCAAAGAACATGTTTTTAGAATTTACATGAAAAATATCATGATAAATAATATGTTACTACAAAATCACAATATAATGCCTTAATTTCTAATGCTAACACCCAACATAGTAACAAAATTTATAATTTTTCAAATCAAATATTAAATCAAGACTAATATCCAAGCAAAGGAATAGTAATGATCCTCAATTGAAGGCTATTAAAAAGACTTAATAGATTTATTTTGTTTTTTTGGGATATGGAATATCAAGTATAAAGACTCGATTGAAATGTTAACAAACAAAACTATTGAGGATATGTACTACACGCACCCTGCACAAAGTAAAGATGTACGCGATGCGTAAAAGGCGCTACTGCATCAAATGTGGGACGCTTTGCCACCGCCCCGCATCGTAAGGCGCATGAGGCGCAATGAGACGTGCGCCTTTGAAAACACTGGTCTAGCCCATATAAATACACAAGAATATAAAAAAACAACTTTTAACACATTGAGCTTCAGAAAAGAAGATATTGAATGTAAATGGCTCCTCGTTTTCTACAAGACTTTGTTAAAGGACAAGCCTAAATTATAGTTATAACGTAGAAAATTAAAACATCACAAACCTTACACGCTTCTACTTGTGAATTTTACTTCTTTGCATCTCCTGAGGTATCATAGGATTCATACATCATGTGCAATCGTGTGCAAAGCATTGTTTTAAATATCGGCCAATAATCGATATTATCAGCCGAGTTATCGGATTTTTGAACTCTCCGCTAGGATAAGTTGGTTTTGTAATCGGTTATCGTTTTGGAGAGATTATTGACGAGTTATCGGCGTTATCGGCACTTATCGGCCGATAAGTAAGGCTAAATTATCAGGATTATCGGCCAGGCATTTTTAGTTGAGTTGTTGAGTTTTTAAAACCCGACCCAACTAGTTTTGTTAATAATATGAAACTTAAAACCCGAAACTTTGTGAATCTGACCTTCAAACCCTAACTTCGTCTCTGGCAGCTGCTCCTTTTCTCGTAGGGCGCTTCCTCCGTTATCTCCATCTCATGTTCTCTGCACCTCTTCGTCGCTCGCCTTCGTGAACTTCAACCTTGAACTTCATCGCTCGCCTACCCTCTGTCAACCATGTTTTTTTGTCAGGAAACATGATTATATACAGATGCTGTGAACTTTCCTTCTCTTGTAATTCCTTCACGCACGCACTTTTTCTTTTGTGTAATATCAGTTCTATAACTATTCTTTTATTATACTTTGCTTTTCTGTTTTTCTTGTAACAAAGACTTATATAAGAAATTAGTGAATAAACTGTACATACTTTGCTTTTTCGTTTTGATATGTTTATATTTCATTAAGCATGGTTAGATTACATTTTTTAGTTGTTATATTATATATATACACCATCCAGTATATTGCTTCGATAAATACTACTTATCCTCGATATACCCCCGTTTTTCGTTATCCGATAAGGATTTTGGTCGTCCGATAAATCCCCGATAACCGATATTTAAAACCTTGGTGCAAAGAACTCTGGTTGAAATTCTAGTAATGTTCATGCTATTTATACCACAATACCCAAATAGCTATAATGTATAAAGTATGGCTGAAGTTGCATCCTTTGTCTCTGGATTTCACCAACTACTAATAAGTTCAACCGGCTAATCCTCCAACAAGTACCCTACTCTCCACTTCTAAAGTAGATTTCATGAGAGTGAGATCGTAAGAACCCAATATATAAAATGACAATTTAACACTCTGCACACCCTAACACTTCGCTGGTAACAAATTATAGCATATTCCCTGAAGGAAGACCTAATTAGGCACTTGGCATCAGTGTTTTCAAAAGCGTGTGCCTCACTGTGCCTCGTGCACCCTGTGATGGGGGCAATAGCATAGCGCCCCGCATTTGATGTAGCAGTGCCTTTTGCACCTCGCAAGTGACGTGCTTTATGTAGGGCTCACGCTAAACATAGCTTCGCATAAGTTTGTTCATTAAGATTTTAACTGGGTTTTTATACCCAATAACCAATAACCTATATCCCAAAAGGCAAAATAAAATAGTTTGGCCATTATAGTAGCCCGATTGAGGACCATAAATTTTGCTTCAATATTAGTCTTGAGATTTGAAAATTTTTGAACTTTGCTCTATGTTGAATGTGTTAGCATAAGAAATTAAAACCTTATTTTGTGATTTCATTGTAGATCTTATTTATCTTGACATATTTTTATGTGAAAATAAATTAACATGTTCTTTCATGTTTGATTACACATCTTGAAAAATTATGTGGCGTGTGTGTCTCGCTTCACTTGGGCGCGCGCGCATTGCATTGTATTGCGCCTTGCACATGTACGCATAAAGAGACTTTGCGCCCTCCGCATTGCGCCTTGCGCATTGATAGCATTGCTTGGCTGGATGCCTAAGCAAGATACTTTTTCTTGAGGGAAACAATGATGGCATCCCTTATAGATATTGTGTCTCACTTATAGATATGTTTTCCCTTACAAATAAATCCCTCCCATAGAAGGTCCAACAAAAATATGCTTGTCACCAAGATGGTACCTGTGCTCCTCATATTTCTTGCGTTTACTCATCATTATTTACTCATCATTAGCCATTGAACCAATTACATGTTAAGAACATCTTTCTTCATGGTTTCTTGTGAAGGAGGTCGACTTCAGCAACTGAGTCTTTTCCCAAGTCAGGAAACATGTGCCATGGACTCAAATAGAAATCGTTATGTGGATCAAGATTTTAAATATCGGTTATCGGGGATTTATCAGACGGTCAAAATTCTTATCAGATAGCGAAAATCGGGGACATATTGGGGATAAGTAGTATTTATCAGAGTGATATACTGGATGGTGTATATATATAATATAATAACCAAAAAATATAATTTAACCATGCTTAATGAAATATTAAACGTCAGTAGAGGTGAGCTTCGAGGTTGGCGGAGGTGAGCTTTGAGGTCGATGTCGCAAGCAACGTCAGCAGACGTGAGCTTCGAGGTCGGAGAGGCAAGCGACGAGGTCAATGGAGTTGAGGGGAATAGAGATCTTGAGCTCGATGGAGTTCGAAGAGGCTCAAAGAACAGTGGCATAGAGAGGGAGAGATTCACGAATGATTAGGGCTGAACTTGAAGTTAGAAAGTTCATTTTATTATTAAAAGCAGGTCGGGTCGCGTTTAAGAACTCACTAAGTAACAGCTCATTACCCAACAATTCAACTCAAAATTCACGCCGATAAAGCCGATATTTCAGCCTCCCTTATTTGCTGATAAGTGTCTTTATTGCCGATAAACTCATAAAAGCGATAACCGATTAAAAATCCTACTTATTCTAGCAGAAAACTCCCAAATCCGATAACTTGGCAATAATATCGGTTTATCGGCCGATATTTAAAACCTGATATGGATTTAATATTCTTATGCAGGCCTAACGTTGGAGATTTTCTACAGTATCATGGGATCTTGGAAGTAGGCAGGATCACTCAATTTTCTATGGACTACATCAAGGAAAAAGGATTCTCTCTTTCTCAATTGTTTATGTGGATGGCATAGTCATCTATACACTACTTGGACATTGAAATATCTAGACCAAAGAAAGATATCATCATTCTTAAAGTATATGCATTGGATATGCCTTGGAATAGGGTGTAGAGCAATTAGTAGATTTGAACTCTAATTACTTGCAAATGGATGGTCTTGGAAAAACCAATAGGGGTACATGAAACTTCTGAGAAACCCAAACTATTGAAGAGTGACTTAGGGAAGATATTGCATGGTCAGGAAGTATTGAGCATTAATCCTAATTTTACTCATGGATTTTTATAATTGGGGCATGATGGTTCAAATATTTTAGTACCAATGAGTGCCCCGGATAAAGTTAGTTTATATTCACATTAATAACACAAAGTGCTAAGGATAAAGTTACTTTCTTATTCACATTGTGATCATAATCATGTAACTAATTGTTAAAGTGGATTGAACTGAATCAAGTGACAAAAGATTGACTAGGGATTATTATGCTTTTGTTGGAGACACTGTTTTAAAAAACCTCCGCCTAATCCGTTTAGACGTACGCCTAGGCCTAGGCGGTACCTAGGCCACCTAACTAGCGCCTAGCACCTAGGCGGTATTTAGGCTACTCATCTAGATTTTACGAACGTTTAGAGGAGCATTGTCTGTTTACGTGGATTACACCTTGTAGGTCTTGATTGTAATTTTATGTGTTGTAGCCTACACGTCCTTCAAACTCCATTAATCTCCAAATATGAACACTTACACTACCTCCTCTGACCTTCAGCAAAACCTCATCGATCACCACTTAAATAAAGAAAGAAATCCGCCTAGACACCAGTACGACATCTAAGCTTTCTATAAAATTAACATTCACTATCAATTATTATAATTAAAAATAAAAAAAAAACATCTTAGGCTCTAGCATTGTTAATTATTATTTTCGCTATTTAGTATCTAAGTATGCATGATTTATTGTGGAACTAAGATTGCTATCTTTTTTAAAAAATTTATATGAATTTAATACATATTTTTAGCAATTATTATAATTAAATAATTTAAAAATAGTCACTCCTGGGCACACGCCCAGGGATCAAGGCGCTAGGCGCTCGCTCAAACGCCTAGTCTGCCTAACGCCTTCTGTAACATTGCCAAGCTTCCCCGATCTCTGTAACTACTAACAAGGTAAAGAATACTTCTTAAATATCTATTTAAGTTAACAACAGTAACTTAAACTTAAGAAGTGTAATTAACAGTAAACTTTAAGTTTAAGTTTAAGTTAAACTTTACTTTAAGCTAACAGTAAACTTAAATTTAAGTTTAAGTTTAAGTTAATATTAAGTTTTTTGTTGATGGTAAACTTAAGTTTAAGTAAACAGTAAACTTAAATTAACAATATTTTAGTTAACAGTAAACTTAAGTTTAAGTTTACTGTTAGCTTAAACTACTTAAACTTAACAGTAACTTATAAGTTAACAGTAATTTGAGTTGAGAATGAGTTTTTCACTGTTGAGATGAACTTATAATTTGAATTGAGAAGTATAAACATACAAAGAGCTATTGTAATTGGTAAACCAAGCAATTTTGTTAATAGTGTTGGTATTTTAGTATTTATACATCTTTGATTGAGTATATATATATTTATCTACAAGTATCACAATTAAAAAAATAAAAAATAAAAAAAATGCCCAAAAACCGTTTAGGCGTCCGCCTAGACGACTAAACGCTGGGTACCAAGTCCGACACCTAGAAGCGCCCAGCGTTTAATGTAACATTGGTTGGAGAGAATATCGTATCGTGAAAGAATTAAGTAGTGGTATCCTATGTTACATGGGTACTTCTATCTGAAGTCATATCCATACCTAACATACCTGTACCCAAATTTCTATGAAACTTCTTGATTATCTGCATTAGTTTATTTGGTCGTGTACTCAATTATATAATACATGTTTAATTAAAAAACTCCTTGGACATTTCATGGACGTCTATCCTACACACGCACTTCTTGAAAATTGTTGGACATGGGTAGGATACATTTTAACTCATATACCCAGTTCAGAATTATGATATTAACGACCACTTCGGATATCTAGTTAAAAAATGATCGATTTTCCAAGTTCTAATCTACATAGAAACATAAAAATGTTGTAGGAATTTTCATTCTCATAACAAGTGAATGACAAACTAAGATTTATCACATGTAAATTATAAATTTTAATATATACAAATATATGTTTAATATACATAAATATATGTTTACATACATATATATAGCCATGTCTCTATATCCTACCTTTACAAATTTGTCGAGTCTTGCACACGTACCCATACCCATACCTACACCCATTTCCAAGCAACTTAGGTGGTATCCTAGGTAACACGGGCACAGCATTTTGGTTGTCATGTCCGTGTCCAACACGTGTTGAGCACGGACTCTCGGTGGACACGACATAGACACATATGGTTCAAAGAAAAACTTGATTTCCTCATTACTTATACCATAAACTAGTTTCTTTGTTAATATCATGTTCAAAACCAATTGGATTTTGACCCGAAAACTGAAACCTATTATTTAAATATTTAAAAAACACTCATCATATTATTCCATGCAGTCAAAGCTAAACTATTGTTGCTAAACCCTTATTCTTAGTTTGATTTAATTAGATTCTTAATTGTTATAGATAATAAAAAAACATACAAATGTTATTGGTACTTTCATTTAATATTTGATCATGTAATTGTATGTGTGTGTATTTGTGTATGTACTCGTGTCTGTGCTACCTAGGCAGAATCAGAGCTCAGCATGGAGTTCGAATATTGAGCCGCGACCATTATTACTCATGAACTGATTTTGGATAAAGGATATTATGAGCGAACCAGGTTTTGCTCCTGTCATCCTATGTTATTATACAATGATAAACAGACTACTGTTCATCTTGTATAGTAGTCTGTGTTTCATGATAGCAAGAAACACACTGAAATGTGTTGTCATTTTATAAAGGTTAGAGATGAAAAGGTCATCTAAAATAGACATACATTCATATTGATCAACTAGACGATTCACCGACTAAACCTCTTTGAAAATCACATAGTAAGATTGCATGCTCTAGCTTCAGGGGGAGATTTAGGAAAGTATACCTTAGAGGGAGGAAGGGATCATCCCTTTTCTTCTCCATCTTTTGTCATTTTCCATCTTCTTGCACCTTTTATATTGCGTGTTTTCACTTCTTTTCCTCTACACATACCCTCTAGATTCAACTAAGGTTAGATAGATCAGCCTCCATTGAGTTCTTTCTGTTAGTTGAGCAAATTCTTTTCTTTATTTATTTTCCTATCGAACAAGCAAACAACAATGTCTTGTTTGATCTTTTATGAGATTCAATACCAATAATTTTCTTAACGAAACATTGTAAGAGCAATAAGATTTTCATGATGAATACAGGTTTAGCGAATGACATGTGGATAGACATTTATCAAAGCAACTTGAAAAGAGATCTTAAAGCCCTCCGTGACCTATTCTTTTGACCCCAATATCAACATTTTCATGTTTCTATTTTTATTCGTATGAATCTCATCTGATCAATTCTAATTCATTGTGTAGAATAACACTTTTCCGCATCATGTGATCTTAACAGACTGAAGAGTGTTTAAAGTGACTGCATATCTACAAACATGAATGAATTTCCTGCTTTTAATAAACAAAGCTCAAATTTTGCATATTCTACCTAACAATCACTGTTCTACCACAAAACTTTTGTAAAATAGTAGGTAACTTACCTACCAACAATGGAAAAAATATGACTACTTGCATGAAGTCCCAGAGAATCCAAATGAAGTATAATCAGACCCGATTCGTCTTCCTTAGCAGGGATACATATAATCACCAAACTCCAGTGCATACTGATCTCACAAAACAACATAAACCAGTCATATATGTAAGGAATAAGAGCAGTACTTCAGAAAAAAAAAATACAGTAATTCACAAATTTGTTGAATTTAAAAGAGGCATATGAAGTTGTGTATCAAACAAATAAAGAAAAATTTGAATATCATTGAACATTGATTGTAGTTACAATTTTGTGGGGGATTTTTCACAGCGCCCTAGAGTTGCCAAAACTAAGAAGGATGACAATAACCCCCCCAAACATCAAACAACTAGTACATTCATCAAATTTTGAATTTGAGCTTTGGAGAGTTTATATCTTTTACAAGCTTATGCCTTAAAATCTTCAGGAATTAATAGTTGACTGGGTTATATAGTTTAGAAAAAGAAATAAAGAAAAGGAAAAGAAAAGTAAACTAAAGATTAAGAATGAAGATATTTTTTAGAGAACGACAACTATGGAGGTTCCAATATTGCCTAACGTTGGCCGTCTTCGTCTATGATACCATTGTCCTTGCATCTAATGACCACAACTGCTTTTGGATTTCTCTTTAGATTGATTTGAAATTTGGGTTTGAACATCAATTATTTGGGTTGTGTCTTGGTTGACTTGTAAGTGGTAAGGTGTTAGGTATTTGATTACTTGAAAGGGTGGTAGGGCAGAAGTAGGTTTGATAGATTTGAAGGTTTGTCCATGAGAAGCTTATTTTGTTTTTTAATTGGCTCTAAAATTGGTTTGTTTGGTAAATTTCATGATGAACAGTGATTGAACTGGATTGGAGTGAAGTGTGACCTTGTGATTAAAGTCAGATGAAACGATTTCAGTCAGTTTCTCTTGCAAAATCCAGTTCCCTTTCAAATACATATCATCACCTACGTTTTGAGACCTTTGAAATTCTTATTAGTTATGAACCTTGTTGCACTGAGAGGCTGAGAATTTTTTTTTCTTCTTTTGATACTTCATATTAAACTCTTAGTTGAGCCACCCTAATTATGTGAGTTTGAGGGGGGTGTTAAATATAGTGTTTCGCTCTTTAGGATTCTCGATTATAATTTACTTTACTATTAGCTTCTTTTCTTTAATAAGACTTTCTATGATTTCCTGCAAATATTGGTATATACAAAAGCTGTTAGTCCCTTCAATGATTAACTGAATAATAAGAATCTTTATTTCTTAATATTACTCACCATCTTTTTCCAATGTATATCAACATTTCTATAGATTATTACCTAACGCAAACATAGCTCTCGAAATTAATAGACTATTTCTAATAAAGCCAATCTAGGATCCTTGCATCTGCAACTAAACTTAGCTATTTGCTCACTAATTTAAAAAAAATTATAACCATCTAATTACTCCGAATCTTAGCGTTCAATATTCATGTATCTAATGCATAAATTATAGTCCAATTAATTAAATTATCATTTCAATTTGAAAAAAAACTATTTGAAATTCAAGATATGTCTAAATATGATAAACAAAAAAATAAAATATCGGAACTATGTCCCCAAAAGCTTTATTTAATTTGCAAGTCTACATCAATTCCAATTCCACCTTGGTTGGAGAGAAGATGAGTTTCTAATTGAGCATCTTCTTCAACCCTACTGCGGGAGATACTTGCATCAGAAACACTAGCAGAAATTTTAAAAAATTCGTAGGGGGGTTCTACTTTATAAGTAAATATACGAACATGACAGAATACAATAGAAATGGGAAAATTGGTGTTAGAATTGTGTAAACAATTTGTCGATAAGGTACCTACTGACCTTGTAGTTGTCTAGCTAGAGAGTCAAAAAAATCAATTGACTGAATACTATAGAAATGGAAAATTGGTGTTAAAATTGTGTAAACAACTCATTGATAAGATATCGATTGACCTCGTAGTTGTCTAACTAGAGAGTCAAAACAACTCATTGGCATGAACTAATTAACTATAGTCGATCGTATGTGATGATCTAATTCATGTATATGACATGAACGTGTAGGATTTGTGATCCCAGACTTGGACGTTATACTTGAGAATCCAACTCGGATACCGAGGTAGGTAACTCTTGGTTTTCTATCATTCTATTGGATTTTCATATGCAACCTTGTACCTTGAATACCTTATTCCTTGCTCGTATGAATGTTCAAATCTGAAACATTGTCGCTTGATATTGTATGCTTGTTGATTGGTGTCATTGGACAGATTTCCTTTCAAATGATGGTTACATATTTGATAATATCATTTGATTAGATCTCACTGTGAAATTGATGCTCGTATGACTGTTGTCCATGTATTTTTATTTCATGCTCTATTTCGGGGGATTAGTTCCCTACATGAAGTAACACTTCATCGGTGGGTTTATAATGGTAAGCATGCGTGTAAGACAATCCCGTGAACATGAACAAATTAGAATCCTAGAAATAAAGCATTGTTTGATTGATTGGTATTTTTGATATTTCAATTCTCATACTTGACTATTTCAACATTCCTCTATTTTTGAGTACTCCGTTGATACATTCCAAACTTTCTCTTGAGTTATCTACTAAGTCTTTCGCTCACTACCTATTGTAGCTGCATTTGTTTCCAAGAAATGATCGAAGCCAATGTACGAAAACCTAATATGCCAAGTGATTTGTACACTTGAAGCATTAAGAATAATTTTGTGGAGTGTTTTGCAAATATTAGAAACAAGACATTTTAGCTATGTGGCAGTTAAGTATTCCATAGGAGCTTTCCTCTATAAAGGTATTCAATATAGAGTCTGATATCAACTTTAAGATTCTGGGATATTATGTGCATATTTAATATTATCAAAATTTTATTAAAGTTTTAGGTAGTTTCTGAATCGCGATGTTACAGTTACATAGTACAAACATAACTCTCAGAAATCATAACATATCAGAATAAAACTAATTAATTTAGATTTATTTCATAACATAGTTGAATTTACTTGCTACTCACTAATTTAAACCTAAAATGAAAGAAATTCAGAAGATCCCGTAGCTGATTCAATTCAATGCATAATTTATAGCCTAGTTAAAGTAAAAAGAGCCTTAAGACTATCTTGAATCCAAGGAAAGACTCCTAACCATGATAATCATTCTAACAATGAGATTTCTAAAATTAAAAGTATATAAAGCTTCATATATACTTTAGATAACTATTTGTCAAAATAATTATTTTTTTAACACTTTATTATTTGATTCTCAGCAAATAGTTATTCCCAGTGTGAATGCATAAGAGTTAATATTACATCATTGTAGCACATATATTTTGGAAACATTATGATTTGATAAATATTTATTGAAAATGAACAACCACTTAGATCCATAGCTCGTTAGAAACTAAAACAACTAATGCAAATAAATATCTATATGCATGTTTATTTGGACTATGGAAAAGAATTATTGTAGTGGTTTTATAACTATGGCTGATGTTTGAAAAGAATTACTAAAATAGTTGTCACCGTCATTCATACAATAAGTGTGACTAGTTTAATATATAATAATAGATAGATAGAGATGAGAGAGAATTTTGGCCACCTATTTTGTAGAGGGAGAAAGAGATTTCATCAAAATCTATGTTCAAGAGAAAATAATTTTGTAGAAAAGTATATTTCGGCGTAGAATTTTGAAGGATATTAGGAGTACGGATATCTATTGGTTGTTGATTATTAATTTGAAGTGAGAGTTAAATAGCCATGGTGAGCTAAGAACCTACCAAATAGCAAAAATTGGTTACCATTGTTACTATTTTAGTATATAGTATAGACAAGTGCTATGCCTGTGCTCCCATAGGTTGGTTTGATTTCTTTGATTATATATTAGGATTTTCATGTCAATTGGTCTCCCCTTCTAAACTGAATTTGCATTTAGTAATTATGAATATCATTATGTGTTGGTTTATGACATGTATAAATGGGAAAAGAGCCAAGAATATAATATGTAAACATAAAAGGTTCCAATTACTGTTATTTCACATATAAATTGTACATAATGTATCCAATCAAAAAGAAATTTTAATTGCATAAGAATGTATGAGAATATATAATTCGTTTTGTATGTAAATAAGTATATGTTTAATGTGTTATTCAAGAACAAAAAAAGATGACATATAATGATATTTAGTAGTTTGTAGAGAAAGATTAACTAGGGAAGCGGGATTGCCTCCTCTCTCTCTCTCCCTCCCTCCCTCCCTCCCTCTCACAAACAGAGACTAAGCCAGCATGCAGCGATAACAAATAGCAGGTGATGGTCTCTCTTAACTAAAAGACTAAGTCAGCATGCAACGGCAACAAATGGCAGGTGACAATGACTGCTAGAAATGGCGACCAACGAAGATGGACTGGAATAAAATCAGGGTCAAGGGAGAGAGCCAAGAAAGGGTTGATTTGCAATATTTTAGAGAAAATGTTTATTTGAAAATTATTATATAATATAAGGGTCTGCTTTGCAAAAATAACTATTATAGAAATATTTTTTGCCTGAGAGGCATTTGGTCCCTTTGGAGGTTATGTAGGAAAGATTTTGATTGTTTAGGAAAAAGTAAAGTTGGGTGGGTTTCATGGAAAACACTCTAAACTGGAGGGGGTTTTGTAAAAATTACCCGAAGTATAAGATAGACATGCAACAAAGTTTTATAGTCCAAAGGCAAACCACAAATCGCACTGTGTTCAAGAGTTTAAATTTTATGTTCCATTTAATTCCAATGTTTCTTTTACTATATTTAATCCTTTTTGTATTTTGAGATACAAATATCTTATGCACTTATTCTTTCTGACTTATTATAGAGGATTCCATTTCTAATTCTAATAAAACATGAAGAAAGAGTAAGAACACCCATAAATCAAACAATGCATAAATGCAGTAAATTTAAATTTGTGATTTGTGGATAACATATTCATGATAGATATGATTGGCCAAAACTAATATACTATAAAGTGAAGAAAAAAATGGAAAAAAGGAAAAATGCAAAAGAAAAGAAAAGAAACAAATGACAAAATAAATAAAAGGAAAAGGGAATTAAAAATATGGTTACTAGAATTTTTTTATAATTATAGATATTTTTAATTACTTAATATAGATATATTTAATTATTTAATTATTTTTTAAGTATAGATATTTTAATTATTTAATTATTTAAATTATAGTTATATCAGGATTAGCAAATATTTAATATTTAATTATTAGAATTTTCTAATTATAGATTTTTTTAATTTGATAAGGATTCTTAGGCGAATGTAGAATAGTAATCTGATTAGGATTACCAAATATTTAGTATTTGATTAGTAGAGTTTTCTAATCATAGATCGTTTATATTTAATGAGAATTACCCGGTTAAGATAGGTCAAATTCAAGATTGTTCCAACACCAGGAGTTAGAACAACACGGTATTGTAAAAACATTTCTAGTTCCAACTTTTCCTAACCAAACACACCCTCACCACTCTTCTTTATAAGTCCATGAGATTATGGAAAAATCTTCCCCTTATTTTATTAATATTTCAACACTTACATAGAAAACATGCGCAAAACAGAAAATAGTAAATAAAAAAACTAAAACTTTTCCCCCTCAACCTATCCTAGTTTGGTTTGCTTGATGGTTTCATAATTCGCCTCCGACTTCTTTCCGACTAGCAACACAGACAAGTTGTCGCAACGAACCTCACAAATACCTATATGATATGGGTTTAATTCACACACACTACTCTAGGAAATAGCAAGAAAAGAAGATGATGTGCCTTACGTAGACAACAAGGGAAAAGTGTGGACACCACATGCTACTGCCACACATTTTATCGACAAAGCAAGATGTGTGCTAATGAGATATAATAACTTTTAACTCAATCTACTCTCTTTGATTAAATTTACACTTATTATCAAGGATATTTTCAAATAAACCCATGAATTTTGGGAAAATACAAACACTCAAACTTTGGGAATATTTTTTCTTGGACTTTCGATAAGTTTATAAAGGGTAAACTTTACAAAACCTAGCTTAAGTTAGGGTAAATTTTAGAACTCCCCCCAAGCCCGAGTGTTTTTCAAATAACCCCGTTAATGTTTTAAATGTCACAAACCCCTCCTTAAGTTTTGGGATTCTCAAAAAAACCCTCTTTAAGTTTTGTCAAACAGCCGCCTAACTAAGAATACCGCTTAAGTTTACCGTGCACATAAAATTCTTGTGCATCCAAACGAACAAAATGCCTCTAATGGGAAAAAAACCATTTTATGAAATTTTTAATAATTTTAATTATAAAGGTAGTTTAAAATAAACCGTTAAGTTAAAATTCGGGATTAATTGATGTGATTATTGTTTAATTTAATTTAGCAATTAGAATGTTAATTTGATAGGAAATTTTTGGTCTGTTTACTAGGTCATCTATAACATTGTTAGGGGAGTTAGATGAAAATATTGGTCCTTATAAGATGATTATATTGAAATAGGTTACCAAATATTGACATTATAATACAATTCTTCCATATTAAGTTACCTCAAATAGGGTGTTATTAGCATTTCCATTAAAAATAACAATCTAATTTAGGTTATGTTCCTATCCGATATATAGGGTAAATTACACTAAACCTCCAAGAATTTTCAAAATATTTTGCAGTAAACTCACAATAACTTTCAAAAGCGCACTAAACCCCAATAACTTTTGCAGAAAGCCCCCAAAATTGACACTAATATGTCTGACATGGCACGTGCAATTCACATCACTTAAAAAAGACCAAAATGCTCTTTAAATTATTAAAACCACTTTTATCACTTTTTTTTATTTTCAACACTAAAAACAAAAACCTCTCATCCTTTCATTGTCTTAAATATCCCCAATATAGCCTAATACATCACCTGATATATCCTTTTATAAGGCTTACTGCAACCAATATGGTCTCTAAATATCATTTACCGTTTTTTGACTATTTTGGACAATATGTCCCTTATATGACCGATATATCAGTCAATATGTTAGCCGATATATCCTTTTATATGGCCTGTCGCAAAATAATATACCAAGTTTGGCAATTCTTAGATGAGATACCATGATTTTTTCATTATATCAAATAACATTTTAGCCTAAAAAATCAGACGAAATGTTGCAATGTTAATTTATACTTTTGTTTGTTTTACAAGATTGATTAGTTATCCTAAACATATTATTTACATTTTGTATGCTTAGATTTCATTAATTATGTTGAGTTTACATTTTGGTGCATTATATTATATATGCAAACATCCATTATGGCATTTTGATATTTACCACGTATCCCTAATATTTTCCCAATATCTACAACTCGATATGAGTTTTGGCCATCCGATATTTTTCGATATCCGATATTTAAAACCTTGCGTCCTTTGTCATTCATCCTCCTCTTGTTCGCACCCAACTTGGTTCTAGTCTTATTTGTATTTTTATGCTAAAATTGTCCTTTAAAATGCTTTTTTATAGTTTTTTTCCTAATTTATGGGGGTTACTTGCAAACAAGGAAACTTATTAGGGACTTTTTTTCAATAGCAAATGTTATTGGAGGTTACTGCAATTTTGAAATTTACTGGGGATTTACTGTAAACAGCTGAAAGTTTTTGAGGGTTTAGTGTAATTTGCCCTAGAAACTACATATTCTAGTTACTCTCTTCTCAGCTAGAGCAATACCATTAGTGCCTCCTACAACAATGACAATGGTAGTCGATGGTGGGTGACCGAGGGCAATGGCTGGCAGCAACAGCGACGTTGTCTGACAATGATAAGGGCAAGCAATAGTGGCCATAGCAAAGAAACTAGGGAAGCAATAAGAATAGCAAATGTTCGTAGTTAGTTATAGGTCAAATGAACATATTCTAATTTGGGTCACTTTATTGCGTGCAAATTTGATCGGTTCGACTTGATAAAATGTACTTCAGAAATTGTATGCAAGTGCTATGCCTATGTGTGGGTCTGGCTTTTTTGGATTGTATATCTAATTTTCTTGTTATTTATGAGTTTTTTTATTATACCGATGCTTCTAAATTGAATTATACTAAAAATAATTCTCTAGGTTGTTGGTCACTTCTTTTCTAATTGCTATATACTCCATTTTTTTATGAATATGAGTACAAATGGCTTATAACAATGACTTGTAATCTAAAAAGTGACCTGCTTATTGAAAGCATACAATAGAAACTTTACATTGAAAACATGAAAAAGCAATAGACCAATAAATAAGACATGGGGACACAATTGAAAATGCGCTATTCTCTTCCATCGAAAGTGAGGAAAATGAACTTACTCTCCATGAATTGGCAAAAAGATATATGCTTTTTGAAATATATCTACACCTTTCCACCACCGCCTCAACTTCAAAAAAGATCCACTTCTATCATTCTAGAAATCATGAAACATGCAAGTCAAGGATGTATCTTAGAGGAAAAAAACTAAAAAAAAAACAAAAAAGAAAAAGAAGAATAAGAAGAATGGCTTGCAACAAGCACAGTAATAGTAATAAAAACGTAAGTCAAACATTATCTAAAACCGATATGGATTGATCATGCAAATAAAAGGTGAACCGAAAAAAATTGTAGAGAAATAAAGGAAGTTGGAAGCACCATGACCAGACTAAAGGTTTTACATTTGAGACTATCATAAAACCTATTAAGACCTAAACACATGGAAAACATATAGATGAATCGAAGGGGGGAAAGGTAATCAACACCTGAATATCCCTTGTTGCTATTGTTTGGCATGGAATCTAGTATATATATCCGTAAAGTCCCAACTTATGTATATACAGTCCATCTTGCTTAGATGATTATCTGCGTAAATGATTATCTGATACCTATTGTCTTCCTTTGACTGCATGAAGCTAGGGTAACATTTTTCGGAGTTGCAGATGTGGTCCCTTGTCTCAACTATACCTGATATATGTTAATTAATTAGCAGAAATCGCAGCATCAACACTTCCACCCATTGAACAATAAACCAAAAAGGTATTATAGTGTGGAAGACAAACTTCCTGTGCCCATTGACTCAGCTAGAAGGGTAGTCCCAGAGAGGACATTATCAACTGATGAAGCCATCTAACTCTTATACTCAGAAATGAAGAAATGATAGGTGCCTGTTAAAAGGTTAGCAGGAATCTCAATCAAGCCTAATTTAATCCAAATATCCAAAACATCAAGAAGGTTCAGCTTAAAAGAGAAGCAGCAGTAATAATTTTGATATATACAAACTCCAATGCTTCTACTCCTAGAAGAAAACTGAACATGTACCAGTCCCTGATTTTTTGAAGCTTCTTAACAAGAGCCCATTTGTACATTTTCAAGTGCCTTACATTTCTACAATCGGCTTTCCGCTATGATAAGTTCAATTCTAAATCGGTGTTTTTGGATGTTTATAATGCAGAGATAAAGTGAGTTATCAGTCGATATTATCAGCCCTAAAATTGGAATTATCGACCTTTGGTTTAAGCTTTGATTTTAGGCAACACGCACCTATTCAATGCACTTTAAACCCGACCATACCCGAGTTTCTACCATTGGTTAGTGATCTTAAACATGTTTATATTTTATTAAATATGGTTAGATTATATTTTAAAATATTATATTATGTATATCACCATACGGTAATGTTCACTCCGATAAATAGTACTTATCCCTGATATTCGTTATCCGATATGAATTTTGACCATCCGATAAATCCCAATAACCGATATTTAAAAGCTTGTCTGCAATGGCTAACAAGCCTTGGCATGTATAAAACATAAAAAAGTTTCTCTAACAGAAAAAGACAAATCTTACTCCAGATTATCGCCAGTCTTACAAAAGAGCAGTTCCGACTAGTCTAGATGACTATCAGTAGAATATCCTTTTAATTTTGTGCTATGTAAAACATAAAAGCTCCAGAGGTGAACCATGTGCAAAGCAGAAGAAACACCTCCTGAGTAGTTCCAGTCAACAATGGAACACTGCCATCAGACTCTTGCTAATTAGGGAATTTCATGTTCAATGGAG